CTATCATGTATATGTGCATAGAAAGTATACTGAAAGGAATGTTACAGTCATTATTGGGGAGCAGGGTCCACATTCGCTCAACTTGTTCTATGTTTTCCATACCTGGGACTGTGAATACATTTTGCTTTTTTAAAAATATGTTTGTTCTTTTGCCCTGGCCAGTTTGGCTCAGTGATTAGAGCATTGGCCTGCGGTCTGGAGAGACCCAGGTTCAGTTCCCGCTTAGGGCGCGTACCTCGGATGCAGTTTGTCCCCGGCCCTGATGGGGTCATGTGGGTGGCGACCACTCGATGTGTCCCTTTCACGTCGATGTTTCTCTCTGTCTCTCTCCCTCCCACTCTATCTGAACAAAATATCAAAAAATGTCCTCGGGAGAGGATTAAAAAATATATGTTTGTTCTTTTTCCCCTTATTGATTTTAGAGAGAAAAGAAGGGAGAGGGAGAGAGACAAACAGCAATGAGAGAGAACATGATTGGTTGCCTCCTGCATGCCCCCTCACTGGGCATTTGGCCCACAACCTGGGCATGTGTTCTGACCAGCAACCTCTTGGTGCATGGGTCAATGTTCAACCACTGAGCCATACCAGCCGGGCTAAATTTTGCGTTTTAAATCAAGATTAACAACTACAACACATGATCTAGTTCTGGATCTAAAGTTGAATGTAAATATTGAAACAAAAGTACAGATTTCTAGGTCTAATTTTCACACTCATGGGAGACTCTAACAAATGACAGCTACAACCTGAGTCAGTTTTCACACTCAACAGAGTGGCAAAAGGGCCTGAGGTTAGCACACATTACCATCATATATTACTGGCTTTGGCGTGTAAATAGAACTTTCAGGAGTAATTTAGCAGGCAGGGTATGGTGAAGTTGAAGATGCACACATCCCAATTTTTGTCCTAAGTATCTACTCGAGAAATCACACGGCTGCCTAGGGAGATTAGCCAAATACACGAAACACTGACTGCAGCCACCCAATTTGTAACAACAAAAACTTCCCATCAAAAGCAGAGTAATAGCCCTGGCCAGTTTGGCTCAGCGGTTAGAGCGTCGGCCTGCGGTCCGGAGAGACCCGGGTTCGGTTCCCGCTAAGGGCACATACTTCGGTTGCAGTTTGTCCCCGGCCCTGGTTGGTCGTGTGGGTGGCAACCACTCGATGTGTCCCTTCACGTCGATGTTTCTCACACTCTCTCCCTTCCTCTCTCTCTCCCTCCCATTCTATCTGTACAAAAAATGGAAAAATATCCTCGGGTGAGGATAAAAAAAAAAAAAAAAGCAGAGTAATAGTGATGTATTCACAAAACAAATACTCTACAGCCAAAAATGAAAAAAGAATGTTCTGCAGAGAGCTTGTGAGAATGAAACATCCTCTATCTTTGCAATACAAATGCCAATAGCTGCATGTAGCACCAAGGGTGTAAAATGTGGTTAGAGAGCCTAGGGGAACAAATTTTTTATTTTATTCAATTTTAACTAATTTTAATAGCCATATGTGGCTAGTGGCTACCAACATGGACAGCAAATCCTGGGAACTTCAGAGTTATAACACTGCTCTTAAAAATGCAGGTGGTGGGCATTGGCTAGTCTGGCTCAGCCATTAGAGCGTCAATCCGCAGACCAATGAGTCGTGGGTTCGATTCCCAACAAAGGCACATACCTCAATTGTGGTTCATCCGCAGCCCTGGTTGGGTCGTTTGGGAGGCAATCAGTTGATGTGGCTATCACATCAATGTTTCTCTCTGTCTCCCTCCCTCCCACTCTATTTTTTTAAAAAAAGCAGGTGTTGGGCTCGGTTAGTGTGGCTCTGTGACTTGAGCATCGTCCTGTGGACAGAGGTCCCGGTTCAATTCCCGGTCAGGGCACAAGCCCAGGTTGTGAGCTCACTCATCAATGAGGGATGTGTAGTAGGCAACCAGTTGATGTTTCTCTCTCACATCAATGTTTCTATCTCTAAAAATCAATAAAAACCTATTTTTTAAAAAAATCAGGTAGTGGGCAGGCTGGTGTGGCTTAGTTGGTTGATTGTTATCCTGTACACTGAAAGGTTTTTGGTTTGATTCCCAGTCAGGGCACATATCTGGGTTGTGGGTTCAACCCCTGGTTGGGGCACAAACAGAAGGTAACTGATCAGTGTTTCTCTCCCCTGCTGCCATAAGCATATCCTCAGGTGAAGATTTTGTTTTAAATACGTTTTTATTGATTTTTTAGAGAGAGAGGAAGGGGGAGACAGAAACATCCATGTGAGAGAGAAACATTGATCAGCTGCCTCCTGCACACCCTCTACCGGGGATTGAGCCCTCAACCCAGGCATGTGCCCTGACTGGGAATCGAACCAGGACCTCTCAGTCCATGGGATGATGCTCAATCCTCTGAGCCACACCGGCTGGACAGGTGAAGATCTTTTTGAAAATTTAAAACCTTGTTTTATCTTCACTAACAATTTGAACTTTCATCTATAAAATCCATTTTGGTCCTTAGCAAGTTATATAAACTGCCAGATAGATCATGTCTCATTAAACGTCCAAAATTATATTCTTGTCGTTTTGGGTCTGTTTCCCTCTAGCCCCGACTGGGAGCAAAATAGTGACCTTACCAGGTTGCTCAAGTAACTGAGCCACACTGGCCCAGGGCTTTCTCTCTTTTAAATAGCTGGGGTGAGTCCAGCTGGTATGGCCCAGTGGTTGAGCATCTACCCATGCACTGAGAGGTTGCCAGTTTGCTTCCTGGTCAGGGCACATGCCCCAGTTGTGGTCCCAGTCCCCGGTGGGGAGTGTGCAGGAGGTAGCCAGTCGATGTTCTCTCTCATTGATGTTTCTATCTCTTTCTCTCCCTTCCTCTCTCTAAAATCAATTTTAAAAATTACTTTTGAAAAAATGGTGAAAAGGATAAATTAAAAATAAATATAAATCTTAGGGGTGAGGGGAGTTGTGTGGTTTGTGTGTGGAGAGAGAGAAGAGAGAACACCCACCTCTATAAATTTGAGATTATTTATAACCTCATACCCATCTTAGACCCAGTAAAAGAAGCTAGTACTGAGAACCATTTTTTCCTGAACTCTCAGAGAGTAAGGTGCCAACACATCCCAACCATCACTCCCAGATATTTCGGTCTGTATTTTCTCAAGCAAGGCATCCTTCATAACTATAAACCAACCATCAAAATCAGGAAACACACCCAGTTACATCATTGACGTCTAATCCTCAGACCCCATTCAAGTGTTGCCAGTTGCTCCAATCATGTCCCTTTGGCAAAAGGATCCACTCCAGGATCACGTGTGCATCTATATTTTCATGACACTTTTGAAGATTACAAGCCAGTTATTCTGTAGAATGTTCCTTAATTTGGGTTCATCTGATGTTCCCTCATCATTAGATTCCAGCTACACGTTTTGGCAAAAATATCATGGTACGGATGCTTCTCATCACATCCTGTAGTCTGGTGCATGGTTTCCATATGCCCTTTACTGCTAATGTTCACTTTCATCATTTGAGTAAGATTACGTCTGCCAGACTTCTTTGAACACAATTCTTCTTTTCCCTGTGTGACTAATATGTATTTTATGGAGAGGTGTTTTGAAAATATGTAAATATCCCATTCCTTATTAAACTTGATTAATTTAGGTCTGTGGACTAATGGATTCTAGTTTATTTAAAGTGTTGTAATCTATTATTATTTATTTTTATCCTCAAATTGTTCCAGATTTGACCAGTGGGCACTTCTTTAAGCTGGCTCCTGTTTTCTGTTTTATGTCCCCATCATTCTTTGAGCATTTCTTGTTTCAGGCACGATAAGATGTTCCAGGGTTTTCTCATACTCTTTCTGACCCAGGTTTGAAACCAAGCATTTCTCCAAAGAGAAATGTTTCTCTTAGAAGCACTAGAATGGTGATTAGAAACCAAGATCTGGGTGTTCCTTGTGCTCATTGCTTCTAGAGTAGTGTTATTTTTAGACCTTCTCAGTGGATATAACTAGTTAATGTATGCACACATGTGTGTGCATACATACCCACATTTGCATCTACATTTATTTATTTTTCTTTACATTTATTTCTTTATCTATCTACATATATTTAAAAATAAGTCTACACCAAAAACCACAGGCTTCGTTCTAGTTTTCTCCCTTTCCATATTTCTAATTCTCATCTCTGACATTGAGAAGCCTGACTTCCTAGAATCTCAGAATATTTACTTGTTGCATCAAGTCTGTGAATGCAGTCAGTCTTTTGCTGCTGCCTCCTGGGGATGCTGTTCTTACCCTCTGTTCCCTCCAGCCAGGCCACCCTGCCCTTCCATAACACTGTTTTCCCTGCCCTCCCTCAGTTCTAGCAAATGGCTTTGGATGGAATTGTTCCAGAAAGGGAAAGAGAAACCATTTTCTCATTCATATTTAATTCTTTGTATTTTAAAATCTATATTATGGCATTTTCCAAGATTAGTTGATGTAGTTTATTAGGTTTTAGCCACACTTCCTTCTACCACAGGGCCTTTGTAAATGCCATTTCCATTTCCATAGCCTGGAACTTTCATTTCATTCTCCTTATTAGTCTTGCTGTTACTTATTAGTATTGTCCTCCATCAACAGCAGCAAACCATTCCTCTACTGAGAAACATTTATTAATTTTTGTTTGTTTTTGTTTACTATTGCAAAAAAACCCTGTTTTATTGAATATCTCTACACACATATTCCTCTTTGTTTGTGCAAGTATTTCTGCACAAATATAGCCAGTGAGAGAAAGAGCCAGAATGGTATTAGGACTTTAGCTTGGCTCTGTCTTCCTTCAGTGCAGGGAGTACATTTTTCATCGCTGTGTCCCAGTGCCCAGAGGAATAGACAGTAAGTGCTCAATAAATGTTTATTGGATTTGAGTGGGCCTCAGCTTCTTTTAATGAACAGTAAACCTTAGATAATGACATTTCTCTAGATGGTGAAGATCTACTGCCTTGTGATTTAAAGCCAACATAGTTTATTCCTAAGCAGTTTTGCCTTTTTTCAACAGAAGGTGGTTTTCTGCTCCGTTAAAGAAGCACTGGAAGTGGACTGGGGCAGCGACAAAGCAAAGGCTGCTCTGAAGCGCACAACTCCGGATTACTTTCTCCTTCAAGGTGAGGGCTTGAGGCTTCCCGGTGAGCCATCAGCGCTTTGGGCTTTGAATTCTGCAAATGTGGCGGCAGAGTCCAGGTGGTTTCTTGATGTTTGCCCTGAGTCAAGTTACTTGTTAGTTGGTTCTCAGTGGCCATACATCTGAGTGAATGGAGACAAGGACCATCATTGAGCTCTGGTTTCTTAATGAATTTTGCTTTTTTGTTGTTGTTGAAATGAACTTCCCTCTGAAGTTGAGCCTGAGATAACAGTGTCATAAATCAAACAACTTCTCAGCACCACTTTTCCCTCTGCAGAGTTCTTCCTTGGCTCCGAAACCAGCTTTACTCTTTCTGAAAGGTTTCTCTTCCTCCCTCCCTCCCTGCTGGTGATCAGGGGGCTCTTAGCTAAGTATCATTTGGCTCTTCATTGTTCTTGTGCCTGGCACTATTAATTAATTTTTTTAATGTTATTTAAAATAATAATAATCACTTACATTTGAGTGCTTAGCATGAACTGTTGGGGGTAGGTACTGTTACTGTCCCTTTTTTTTTTGGTATGTGCCCCTAGCAGGAACCGAACCTGGGACTCTGGTCTGCAGGCTGACGTTACATCCGCTGAGCTAAACCGGCCACGGCTGTTATTATCCCTTTTTTACAGATGAGGAAACTGAAGCACAGAGAGATTAAGGTCACTCATATTCTCAAAGTTATATAGCAAGTAAATATAAAATACCAGTTTGTTAATTAGTGTAGAAATAACTCATATTTATTGTACAAAATACCAGAATAGTACAGAGGAAAAAAAATCACCTTGACATTTTTGTGCTTTTAGGGATGTGCTTCCCAACAGCTTTTTCCATGTCCCAGTTTATGTAGCACAAGATGCTGGGAGTCCCTCAGTCACCTGTCCCAGGCCCCATGTGTTCACCCAGACCTGCAAGAGTCAGTATCTCTGCAGAACCATATCTCTTTCTCAGGGAGACTCTGAGGTAGAGATGTACCTTTTCTTTATAAAATTTACAAAGCATTTTTGGTTGTATTTAGAGTGTTTGGTCTTCCTTTCCACAGAGCAGAGAGGAGAACTGTGTCCCCACCTCCTTCCTTCTCTTTATCTGTGCAGACTCTAGGAACTCCCCGTCTAAGTCAGGACAGATGGTTGTGCATGGGAGTTCACAAGCATTCTTCCCTCTCCAAAGGGAAATACATAAAACTATATAAAGCCACCTTAATAAACTAGTAAGAAGATAAGATGAGGCTGAAGTTTATCTTGACATTATTTATGAGTAAAGCTCTTTCCATACTAATTAATGATGCTGATCCGATTGGGAGAGTTGAGGGATGAACTATTTTGAAACACTTAATAATCCATTTTTATAGAAATAATTAAATGGGTTAAGTAGGAATGAGTCCTCTGCATATGAGTGTAGGACTCAGAAAAGAGCCCCTTTTAAGGACTAGGACAGTTGAGCAAAGAAATGCCAGATAGAGTCACAGCAGTGCCCTCCTGTCTGGGGTTCAGAAAGAACACAAGGTCAGCCTGTTGGGAGAAGCTAATTGCTTGGTGTCTGGCACATAGAAAGCCATCATTAAATAGTAGTTGTTGATTTACAAAGGTTTTAGGTATACTGCTTCTTATAAAATTACTCAACTGGCCCTGGCCGGTTTGGCTCAGCAGTTGGGCCTGTGGTCCAGAGACCCGGGATCAGTTCCCGCTAAGGGCACGTACCTCGGTTGCAGTTTGTCCCCGGCCCTGGTTGGTTGTGCGGGTGGCAGCCACTCGATGTGTCCCTTTCACGTCGATGTTTCTCTCTCTCTCTCTTCCCCCCTCCCTCCCAATCCATCTGAACAAAAAATGGAAAAATGTTCTCAGGTGAGGATAAAAAAAAATTAGTCAACTGGTATTTGAGTTTACTGTGATCTGGTGAATCCCAACCCAGGGCAATTTTGCCTGCCAGGGTACATTAGCAGTGTCTGAAGAACTTTTTGATTGTTTATAGCTGGGGGTTGGGTGAGGAAAGGTGTTGCTGGCATCTAGTGGGTAGAGGGCAGGGATATTGCTAAATATCCCATGACATGTGGCACAGGACAGCTCCCCATGACCCCCTACGTCAATAGTGCCAAGGTTGAGAAACCCTGATCTAACCCTTTGCAGTTTTCACAGTATTTTCTTAAACAAATTGTCATCATAACAGCACCATATGAGTAAACAGGGTGAGACTATCCCCAGTTTGGTTTCTTGAGATGAGGAAACAGTCCCAGAGAGGCTCAGTGTTTTGCCTAAGAGGACACAGAGTTTTGATGGCAAAGGAGGTAGATGCTGCACAGCCCAGTTCTTTGAAATCTAATGAATTAAAGACTGTGTGAGATACCAGGTAATAGTAGCAGCCAGGCTCCATTCTCAGCACTCATTTGATCCTCACATTCATAGAAAGTAGCTGCTATGCCCTCATTTATAGATGTTTTAAACTGCACAGACTGATGAAGATCCAGGCCTGCGGCCATCTCTGCCCTCAGGAGCCTATCATTGAAATGGGGAGGCACAATGAATACCCGGGAAATCATGTGGGGAGAGGTGTTTGTTTGTTTGTTTGTTTGTTTTTTAATCCTCACCCGAGGACACTTTTTCATATTTTGTTCAGGTAGAGTGAGAGGGAGAGAGAGAAAGAGAAACATCGACGTGAAAGGGAACAGATCGAGTGGTTGCCACCCACACGACCCAACCAGGGCCGGGGACAGACTGCAACCAAGGTATGTGCCCCTAGCGGGAACCGAGCCCAGGCCTCTCTGGACCGCAGACCGATGCTCTAACCGCTGAACCAAACCGGCCAGGGTGGAAAGGTGTACATTCATTCATTCATTCATTTTATGTCAGATAGAGTGGGAGAGAGAGAGAGAGAAACATCGACATGAGAGAGACACATCGATTGGTTGTCTCCCACACAACCCCAACCAGGGCCAGGGACTGAACCGCAACCAAGGTATGTGCTCTTGACCAGAATTGAACCCATGACTCTTTTGGTCTGTGGGCTGACACTCTACTGCTGAGCCAGACCGGCCAGGGCTAAAGGTGTATGTATACTTAATCCAAATGCTGCTGACACCCTGGCTGGTGTGGCTCAGTTGGTTGAGCATAGTCCTGTGCACCAAAAGGTCACCAGTTAGATTCCCAGTCAGGGTACATACCCAGGTTTCAAGTTTGATCTCTGGTCATGGTATACAGGAGGCAACTGATCACTGTTTCTCTCTCTTATTTTCTTTCTCTAAAGTCAATGAAAATTTTAAAAAGAGCTCTGGCCAGTGTGGTTCAGTGTTTGGAGCGTTGGCTTGTGCACTGAAGGGTCTCAGGTTCAGTTCCTGGTCAAGCGCACATACCTTCACTCTCACCTTCTCCCTTCTTTCCCGTCTTTAAAAAAAAAAGAAATCAATGGAAAAATATCCTCAGTGAAGATTAACCAAAGAAAGAAAGAAAGAAAAATAAAGAAATAAACGGATGCTGCTGTCCTTCCCCATCAGAGCTTTTTTTCCTCACCCTATACATCCTATATGTCTACTTCTCTCTTCTAAGTAGTACTGGTTCTTTTCAGTTTCAAGTTTCAGCATTTTGGATTTGGTGATTAAAAATTATGTTTATTGCCCTGGCCGGTTTGGCTCAGTGGTGAGAGCATTAGCCTGCTGTTCAGAGAGACCTGGGTTCAGTTCCTGCTCAGGGCATGTAACTTGGTTGCAGTTTGTCCCCGGCCCTGGTTGGGGTCATGCTGGAGACAGCCCCTCGATGTGTCCCTTTCACGTTAATGTTTTTTCTCTCTCTCTCTCTTCTTCTCACTCTAATTGAACAACAAAAAATATATATATATGTATATTTATTAGTTAATGGTCACAGAATGTTTTTATTATGGTAAAAAAAAAAAAGCACATGCCATAAAATGTAACATCTTAACCATTTTTACATGTACAATTTTGTAATGGTCAGAATTTAAAAGAAGCAACCCCATGTATCATCTAGGCCAAGGATGGCAGATCTGTGCTTCCCTTTCTTCCCTCCATCCCTCACCAGCGGCAACATGACTGAAGGAACCCTTGTCATTGTCCTGGTATGTCTGAACCAATGGGTCCCTTTCCTGTAGCTTCGAAATCCATTAAACAGCGCCACCTGCAATTGCTCTCTGACTTGGCATTCACACTGAACCCACTTCTCAATTGTAATTAGGCTAACTTTCTCTTTTTATGAGAAGAATAATGCCTAAGCCTGCCTGTGTGGCTCAGAGGATTGAGCATCGTCCCATGGACTGACAGGTCCTGGTTTGATTCCCGGTAGGGGCACATGCCTGGGTTTGGGCTGGATCCCCCGTGGAGGGTATGCAGGAGGCAGCCGTTCGATGTTTCTCTCTCACATTGATGTTTCTCTCTCTTACTCCCTTCCACCCTCTCTCTAAAAAATAAATTAAAGCACCCTAGCCAGTTTTCCTCAGCGGTTAGAGCGTCAGCCTGCGGACTAGAGAGTCTTGAGTTCGGTGTCCACTAAGGGCATGTACCTCGGTTACAGTTTGTCCCCGGCCCCAGTTGGGGTCGTGTGGGTGGCAACCACTCGATGTGTCTCTCTCACATCCATGTTTCTCTCTTTTCTTTCCTCTTTCTCCCTCCTGTTTTATCTAAAGATACATGTAAAAATGTCCTCGGGTCCGCATTTAAAAAAAAAAAAGAATAAAAGCATATATTAAAAAAAAAAAAAAAGCCTAGAAGGGTAGTGACTTGCCATGATCACCCAACATATTAGTGGTGGCCTTAGGTCTAAAACTTTAGTCTCTTGAGTCCTCCAGAGTCTGGTTCCTTTACACCACATCCAGTGCTCTTCCTGGGTGTTTTGGATATCTGGCCTTTCCTGTACCTTTCTCTTCGCAGCAGATGACATGTTTTGATCTTTCTTTAGTGTTGTCACATGCACATTCCTGATGTGGTGCCCCCCCCCCCACCCCTCCCCGCGCCTTGGTCTTTCTGAGCTCTGCTATGCCTTTCCAGAGGTG